CAATATAGACACTATTGTGCCAAAACAAAAGCATTCACATCGCTAAACTCACAAACTATAATGTAGTCACTTAGCCTTAATACCATAATCTGTAATAATTTAAAGTTAAGAATTAATCTAAGTTTGCCCGAAATGCCTAGCCTTGCTAAGTGTCCTAGTGGCCCCCTCTGTAATTAGTATTTTAAAACATGTAAACCACACAATATCCAAAATCTGTAAACCCCACATTGTAAACCTTATAGAGAATAAACTTGATTGATTGATGAAAGTGCAGTTCTAATGCGCACTAACGTTTTGTATACATGATTGTTTATCCTATGTCCATTCCATTATACCTTGGCCTATGTTTATTTAGGTAAGTGGTACACAGACTTCTGTTTGTACCTTTCTTCTCACCCCATTTTCTTTAGACGCCCTACAATTCCTAGTTTCAGCCTTGCCTGAACCAGTACTTCTTTTAGATTTTAATTGCCCTCATTTTCTTTGGGGTATGTCCCACTGTGATAATGTTTCGGTCCGATTTGGACCAATAACTAGTCACAGGGTGGCCCGGTGGCCTGGTGGCTAAAGCTCCCGCTTCACACACGGAGGGCCCGGGTTCGATTCCCGGCGGGTGGAAACATTTCGACATGTTTCCTGACACCTGTTGTCCTGTTCACCTAGCAGCAAATAGGTACCTGGGTGTTAGTCGACTGGTGTGGGTCGCATCCTGGGGGACAAGATTAAGGACCTCAATGGAAATAAGTTAGACAGATCTCGATGACGTACTGACTTTCTTGGGTTATCCTGGGTGGCTAACCCTCCGGGGTTAAAAATCCGAACGAAATCCTATCTCTTATCTTATCTTACACAAAGGGGAGTGAATGGAAGGGAGAAAATATACTAGAGGGGAATGGGAGGAGGGAGTAGTTTTATTGTACTACTAGTAGTAGTGGTGGGTGCATAAAGGTGTTTCTTTTTTAACGAAACTATTTCTATTATTTGTTAATGGTTTAGCCTCAGTTGTACCTCGAGGAGTGCTGTCCTCTTTTTACGTGGATGATCTTACAATGTAATCGACTGTACATGTATATGTATGTACACGCATACATTTGTTCATGCATACATACACACACATACATACATGCATTTCAGCAAGCGCTGTATAACCCTTACGGATTTAGCGCTTCACCATTACTATAATAATTACAATAGCTTCTTCATCCTTGGATCAAATCTGACTGTCTCCTATTCCCAAGGCACTGCATGATCCTTCTGGGTTTAGCACAAATGAAAAATTAAGCGTAGATAAACTATTTTACAGTTACCGTTTATGACACAGCATTTACCAGAAGATGTCATTTTTAAACCAACAATGACTTAAGTCTGGAAACATGTTAGTATAGCATAATGACATCAACGAAATAAAAGTCAGTTGACCAAATGAAATCACTGACCCAGAGATGGTTCAACTTCACCCTGTTTCCTGTTTGTATGTCTCATAACAATAAAAAGGCTTTCAAATGAGCTGATGTAGGTAACAGCTCTTGGTTTGCAAATAGAGTTAGGAACCTCAATCTAACCATGTAAGACCCTATGCAAAAAAAAAAAAAAAATTACCGAAGTGTGCCCCCTTTATGTGTTCCCAATTTGTGATAATATTAACGACAGAAATCACATCAGCTTGTGAGCTCATTACATTTGTACCTAGTTCAGCTATCAAAACTTTGGGGGCCCAGTCCCAGGACCCATTATGTACCTCTGTAATCTTTTGACTACCGCCCACAGGATGGGTGTGGGGTGCATAATAAACATATTAAACTAACTGCCTCACCAAGAGAGCGTGGAAGAAGATGAGGGTGAACTGCACCATCTGGAGGGTAGTGAGGTACTTCTTCCACCAGAGATAAGGACGGACGCGGGGACCCAGGGCTGCCAGCAGGTAGTACAGGTACATCACAGTGTGTACGAAGGAGTTAAGGAAACCCATCAGCGTGATGTGACCACCTGGCAAAGAACGTAATGAACCATTATTACAACCAGGACAACTGGATTATTATTATTATAATCAAAAAGAAGCGCTAAGCCACAAGGACTATACAGCGCAGGACAACTGGAGCTATCCTTACCTTCCTTGAATCAAATCAAATTACAACCCATTCCTCAGCTTAATGTAATCGTACGATTAGGTATCCCCTGAAATCATATTTATATCAGTATTAATTAAAAAAAATCCTCTATTCTGTAAAGGAATTTTGAGGAATAGTTTAATTTTTAAGGGAGTTCGGCCTATTCGGCTTATTAGGCACGGTATTATATATATATAAGTATTCAGTTATTGGAAACACACACCTGGTTGATAGCGGAGACCAAACCAGAGGCTGGTAGCCATGAGGGCGTGATGACAGACGTGGAGAACTGAAATATGTTCATACTTCTTGTGCATCACGAAGAACAACTGAAACAAGTCAAAAAGTCATGAGAGGACTTAAGTTGCTCGGCTGTAGTGTTCAGCATCACCTACTGAAAGATTTTATCTTCAGTGATTATTATTATAATTATTATTACAATCAAGCGCTAAAACCTTAAGGTTTATCTTCAGTGAAATTATTATATGTCATCTATGTTTCACCTGATGCTTCTCAAAATTAAAATATAAGTGGCAGTATTGAGTTCCAGCTTCTGGGTCTCTTGAGAATATTGAGTGACAGCTCCCGAATCTTGCAAAGACTATTAAACTAATCTTAAAAAATGCTTTTTCTTATTGGTTTCGAACTTTTGGTTTAAAAATGGCTTCCAGTTTTCCGTCCTCACCATCAGCTGATTGATCTTAAAGTTTTGGTAGTGACTGACAAGACATTTTGGAATTTATCATAATGCTTCATCCGATTGATCTCAAGTTTTTTTTTTTTGTGGTGAATGATAGGGTTTATTTCCAGCTTCTGGGCCTCTTGAAGGTATTGATCTTCGGTTCTTGGTTCTCTTACGAATAGTGAAATTAAATGTTTTCTGAGGGAGTTGATCTGAAGTTTCTCTCTTACCGAGAGATTTGAAGTACAGCTACTTTATTCTTACAAGTTTCGGTATGCTAATACCGACAAATTGTGGAATGAGACATTATGCACAATCAAAACACTGAAAATTTTCTCCACTAGTGACGAAACCGAAGATGTTTCGCCACCGGTGGCGAGACATCTTCGGTTTGTTGATTGTGAATACGTGTTTTATTCCCATAGCTACTGGACTTGTCACATGTGCTGAGGTAGAGGGGGCTGGGGTTATCAGATACGGTATACCTCTCTCAGACCACTCAGCGACTGAAACATGCAGTTATGTAGCTGGTCCGAGTTAGAGGCCCCTGTAATAAGATTTATTTTTAAATACCGCTCTAATCAGATTAATATTCACAATATGAACACAATCCTATGGTTGGTTTGTAGATCGCGAGCCACACCAATCACCAAGCATTGCAATCAGTGGACATTCAGTGAAAGACTGAAGAGCATGCAGTGAGAAAGTTGATGTGGCATGTTTACTCAACTTTGCAGAGCTGTGAGTGAATGAAGCAAGTTCTTTAATATATAAAATCATTCGATTTTTAGTCACAAGATTTCAGGCACGTCTTGCTACTTGTACTTACACTTAGGTCACACTACACATGCATGTACAAGCATATATATACACGCCCCTCTGAGTTTTCTTCCCTTTTCCTACTCGCTCTTGTTTATTTCCTCTTCATCTCCATGGGGAAGTGGAAAAGAATCCTTCCTCCGTAAGTCATCGTGTCGTAAGAGGCGACTAAAATGCCGGAGCAAGGGGCTAGTAACCCCTTTTGCTGTATACATTACTAAATTTAAAAAATGAAACTTTAATTTTTTTTCTTTTTAGGTCACCCTGCCTCGGTGGGATGCTCCTGGCTCGTTAAATATATATCAAAACTAAGCGCTACAACCACAAGAGTCGTATAGTATGTAATAATATGTGGAAGATGAAAGCCTGACATCCAGCTGGCAATGAACTGGGTTATGCAGCCTGTAATTTGAGCCCAATGACGTGCTCATTCTCTGTTAAATAGGAAGAATTCGCATATAAACAGTATCCAAAGATTTTTTATATTTATCCTTTAATGGTCTGCAACTAGCTGAAAGCAAGGCAGCATGGTGCCTCCACAGTCTGTGGTAAGGAAGTCTTGTATCACCCCATCGTTATTTTCAACGAACATTTAGTGGAGTACATTATTTCTGAACTGAATCCTTGTCCTGCATGTTTCTTTGCTTCTTCCATTACCCAGACACACTCAGCAGCAAGCCGAGTGTTTCAGGAAGTTCAGTCACACACTTGAATCCCTTGAGGAGGAAATAGAAAGGAACAGGAACGACCTGGACACGATCAACCATGTCCGCACCATGTGACACGGTATTAAGGAGTCATTTCTGACTGAACCGGCGCCCTTATGTTTTTTTTCTTCCTTGCTTTCATGTATCTACACTAAATCATTATCGTTTTCGACGCTTTAGTTGTTCCTCACATGGGAAACCATTACTTTTCAATACGAAAAAGAGATCGAATACGTGGCAGCACATGTGACAGTATTCAGGACTTATGTACCTGCGTTTACCCGGGAGAGCTTCATTGGGTCAACGCCCCTCGGGTTCCTGATCTGTTGGAAAGGCTGTTACTCTCGCGCTTGCAATTTCCAGGGAACCAATCTCGGCTGGTCAAGGACGACTTTGGTGAAGTCCATGCCTGCTAAAGACCAGTCAGGGGTCATGGGTATACCGCTTATGTATGCCGGAGGCAATTGAACAGGTCCAAAACTAATAAGCGGACGTGTTATGACTTGGCCCATAACGTTTCCGGATCAAACAGACGAGAAATAGGTAAAGCCTTGTGGGCTGTCGGGAAATGGGGATAGGGGAATTAGTGCCTAGATAGGCTGTAGTGAGATTGAATAGTACCTAAGCTTAACAACGACGTTTTGGTCGAAAGTGGATCGGGGCCAGGTCGATCAAAAATTAGGAAGATGACTAAAGCTTATGTGGGCAGCAGCGAAAGCGAAGCGAGAATAGTAAGGGCTTAGGAGGGAAAAAGGAGAGTTTATCAAGGCATTTTGTTTTTTCTAACCCCACACTGAAAGTTTGGTTCTTTGATCCAAGTGTCGCAATTTCGCTAGGTTTCATTCGTCCCAGTGGAGTCATTGTCTATTTGTCCTTCAAGATTAGGGATAAAAAAAAGTTTCCCACAAAGTATTATTGTTCCATCGGTTACCAAAACTCGAGTCGCCACCTGTCACCTTTCTCTGGTAATCCAATTACCCCAGCCGGTTAGGTTTCATCCCCCAAGAGAGTTGTTTTTTGTATCGTTCATCCAGAAGCATTAAAACCAAGTTTCCCCCCAAAATATTATTGCCATCAGGTTGCAAGAACTCAAGTCGCACCACCTGTCAACCATTCTCCAGGTAAACCATACCCCCGCCGGGATTGAACCCCGGGTTCAATCCCGGCCGGGTAGGTTTATTTGCAATCGTGTCATTACGATTTCTTAAGTCATTCTCTCAGGTCACACACACACACACACGAATCACAATACCTGGTAACACGCTCAATCACAGGTTGCACTATGCAAGGTAAGAGACCCACCAATACTAGGAGTAACAGTAGTATGGGAACAAGGACATACAGGGTGGCAGGATTACTACAAAGAAACACTACATCTTACTACCCATGACATTCGTGCGGGCAGCTTGGGGGGGGGATACTGTAATACTGCAGGCACCACTGCGTTTGAGGGGGTTGGGGTTCCAGCTCCTGGGCCTTTAGTAATGTGACTATACCAATTAGCATTTCATATACAGATGGGTAATTTCCCCTTCTCCCGGCACAAATTACTTATAAAACGTAAATAGTCACGATAACAATCAGAAAACATCGTTTCATGATGATGTAAATGTTAAACGTTAAGAACAGGTAATATAAGATAAGATTTCGTTCGGATTTTTAACCCCGGAGGGTTAGCCACCCAGGATAACCCAAGAAAGTCAGTGCGTCATCGAGGACTGTCTAACTTATTTCCATTGGGGTCCTTAATCTTGTCCCCCAGGATGCGACCCACACCAGTCGACTAACACCCAGGTACCTATTTGCTGCTAGGTGAACAGGACAACAGGTGTAAGGAAACGTGTCGAAATGTTTCCACCCGCCGGGAATCGAACCCGGGCCCTCCGTGTGTGAAGCGGGAGCTTTAGCCACCAGCCAGCCAGAGGCCTCAAGTTATCTCGATTCTCCAGACAAAAATGAAGTGAAAAGGAAAAGATAAAAAAGAGAAAAAGAATGAAAAGATAAAAAAGATAAAAAGAGAAAGGAAAATGAAAACAAAAAGAAAAGAAATAAGACAAAGCAGAAGCTCAGACAACCATTACAGGTATCCCCTGAAGGGGAATAACTAATGCAAATTTTAATGCTTATGTTACCCTATGACTCTGCATGAAAATCCTGAATAGGTATCCTCAAGGACATACCTACAGATGGATACTCCTCCTGTTTGTTTCCGAACAGTAACCTAAGGTCTCCAGGGGATACCTACAGAGACTATCCTACTTAAATGCTACTTTTGTGGCTCAGTTTCCGAGAAATAACTGGAGACTTCTTAGGATCGACCTCAAACTTTTAACACTGCATGTTCAACTGCCTTCCAGCATACATAAGAGGGATTACCAATAGACCCCTGGCTGTCTTCAAGAAGGCGCTGGACAGGCACTAAGTCAATACCAGACCAGCCGGGCTGTGGTTCGTACGTTGGTTTACGTGCCGCCAGCAGTAACAGCCTGGTTGATCAGGCCGTGATCCAATGTGAGGCCTGGTCACAGACCGGGCCGCGGAGCGATGTTCCCCGAAACCCTCTCCAGGTATACTCCAGGTATGTACTTTTCATATATTGATCCCTTAAGTGCCCTTCTCTTTTGATTTACCTACAAATACCTCTCTTTTTGACCTATGAAATTGTTTAATTTATTGTTTATCCTTTTAGGATTCCTTTTCATTTAATCTTTTTCACTTATCTTATTCTCTGTATTTTAGTTAAAAGTTTATGATTAGTACTGGCCATTTTGCCAAAGAATTTCCATAATCAGTGTTTTGGTGGTATACTCGTTCTTCTGGTGTGGGTTTAAGAATTAGCAGGTCTTAACTAAATTTACTGAACCTGTTCTCAAAACTAAAAAAAAAAAAAAATGATAACCGTGCCCTTGTCATAGAGCTGCCCCCGCCATGGGGCTATAAACGGCATAGCAACCGTACAAACTCCGACATTCCTTTGGGAGCCACTGCCGGGCCACCCCAAGAAGACCCGGGCCAGAACCCGTCTTGGCGAACCTTCCTGAACTTGAACCTTGTATTGTCTGTAATAACTTGACAATGCTCTTGGAGAGCGAAACGTTGTCGTAATAAAATGTCACATTAGTTGTGTATGCGTTCTTTTACTTATATTAATGTTAAGAATACACTTTTATGGTAGCAATTTTTGGGGGGTTAAAAGCATTAAGTAACCACATGACTAGCGTTTCGTAAATTATACAGGATAATTTAATATATTACCTTAGTAACTGCGCCACAAGGTCTGCACAACAGACCTTGGGGTAAGAGTTCATATTATATTGTGAATACAACACTGCGAGTGGTCTGCAGAGCAGGATAACAAAGCCTTCCTTATTACACATCATTTTTTTTTAGCAAGGTGAAGTGCTACACCAGTGGTGGTTAATACTGCGTCTGGGGAATGAGAGGAAAACAGGTTTTATTCAAGGAAAGGTCGGGTAGTTCCAAATTTCGGAACTCGAGCCATTCACCAGCATCAAGGAGAGACCTTATTTTACAAATTTAGTGAAGCTGACTACTACTCCCGTTGGTCTGTTTCCGAGCAATAACTTATTCTCCAGGGTAAACCTACTATACGGCTTGTAGCCATTTATATCATACAAAATAAAACTCAATAACACTAATGTTTCCTCACACCAACAACTGATTATAGTCCACTCACCGTATCGATGAAGTCGATGAACTTGGAGATGTAGTACCAGTAAGCAATGTTTAACATCTGTTGAGAATGGTTATAGTAAATGGTAGTGATGATTACACTACAGGGTGAGAGATAGTAGTAATGAGTGATGATACACTACAGGGTGAGAGATAGTAGTAATGAGTGATGATACACTACAGGGTGAGAGATGGTAGTAATGAGTGATGATACACTACAGGGTGAGAGATGGTAGTAATGAGTGATGATACACTACAGGGTGAGAGATAGTAGTAATGAGTGATGATACACTACAGGGTGAGAGATGGTAGTAATGAGTGATGATACACTACAGGGTGAGAGATGGTAGTAGTGAGTGATGATACACTACAGGGTGAGAGATGGTAGTAATGGTGATGAGATTCACATGGTGAGAGAATGTAGTCATGAGTGATGATACACCACATGGTGAGAAATAGTAATGAGTGATGATACACATGGTGAGAGACTGTAGTCATGAGTGATGATTCACATGCTGAAAGAGTAATTTACAATTATAATCATAGGGGAGCGCTAAACCCATAGGTAAGAGATTGTAAACACTGAAAGCATACCAAAGAAATTACTGTAAGAAACTATCTTTAAATTTAACTCGTCTGTTTCTCCTACCAAAACTGCGTTGCATATTTTGCCAGTTCCCCAAAACAGCTGAGGCTTCAGGCGAATACATCTGCAGTGTCTTAGAATAAGTACAGATCCACTAAGGATAAGGAAAGTTTTCATGGGTTGGCCATGGAAGACTCACTTTACATATATTATTAAAATGCTTTTGCGTAGAAGAAAGAAAATCTTTTATCAGTCAAAAATAATATTAAAATTGTCTAAGTTTTATTTGGTGTCTTTAGTTGTCATGAATAATTTTTTTATGGTTAGGGAACCTCAAGTCATCAGGGTCAGGGCCTCTATAGATCTGAGGACCTGATCATCTTCAGTCAAAAGAAGGGCAGGATAGGTCCAAAGCCGTTCACCGGCATCAAGGCCCTTGGAGGATCTGGATAAATATATTGGTAAAAAGGGCTGGATTTGATTAGTACTCGAGGTACTGAAGAAAATTCTTGAATAGCTTGGGGAAAAGGTTGGACAAATAGGTGGGTATGAATGGATGGTTTTGAGAAGGTCGTGCCATATATGGGCTAGTAGGCCTATTGTAATGTTCCTTCATTCTTATATAGTCTTAGGACGAATCAGAGAGTAAGGGAGACTCACCCTAATGGCTTGTGGGTTGTCAGAGAAGTCGCAGGTCTGACACACCAACTTGTAGCTGCCGAACCATCCGCTCATCCCGCCCTGTGAAGAGCACCCAGATAATAAAAATGCGAAAGTTACGAGCGTGTTGCCTGACTCAGACAACATTACTTAAACCAAAGACAGTGATTTATTGACTAGTTATACTGACATTGTTACATTTAGCAAAGTATTGTTAAGGATAATAATAGGTAAATGTGAGTTTAGCGCATTTCTGCAATCATAAGAAGGAAGAAGAAAGAAGAAGGCTGTATTAAATATTAGCTAAACTTAGATACTTAAGGAAAACTTGGACGAGTCAATCTGAATAACAGCCTCAGGCTCCAATTAGAAACTAAGAGGGAAAAAAATATCTCCATCATAAGAGTACAGGAATAGCAAAGATGCTACCTCGATTATTATTAAAATCACAGAGAAAGATTAAGCTCGTAAGACATGCAGCGCCTGAGTAATGAAACGTAAACGGGTTTGATACAAGATAGGAATGAGAAATTTCTTGGTTCAAGAACTCTTCTCCAGAGTCAAGGTGAGGAAGGATCATTAGTCTCAAAACCCTTCATGAGAAGATCCATGAGGATGGTGAAGAGATCTTCATCCAATTAATTTGAGCTATTCTCCTCTTCAGGTCAGACCAGATTATTACACCAGGCGCTTTATGGCCCCACTGGAAATAACTCTTCCATCTACTGAAGAGGACCCAAAAAGGGGGGGTCGAAATTACGAATCAATAATCCCCCGAGCTCTGTTCATGGGGGTTTTATTATAGGTTTTATAAAAAAGGGTTACAATAAGTCTCTTATGGTTCTTTTTTTTTTTTTTGGGGGGGGGGGGAAAATATGTATAACTTACCCATAGAAAACCCGCAGAAACACGTTTGGAAAGGGGCATTGTGGGAAAATTTTTGGTTTGAGCCCCTTGAAGGTTGTCTTTTGTCATGTGAGTGGTCCCCACCACGTTCAATGGCGATGTAGATGAGGGGGGGAGGGCCCGGGAAGGGAAAAGACTTCAGGGAGCCAGGAGTCCTGTCGGAGTCAGGGGGCGCGGGGGTGGCCCCCGTAGGTCTCCGTACCGTAATGAAGATAGTGATCCATGTGCCCCCTTTTCCCTTGGACTTCAGCTCTTTCAGAGAAACTATTAAAAAAAAAGCGAAAAGGGATTAGATTTTAGACACTGTATACGTTTTTAAACTGTTAAATAACACAGCCTTAATTAAGGCTATTGACTAGTTTATATTTTTCTCAAGAAATGTTTAAAGCACGATTTTAAAAAAACCTACCCCCCGGGCCCGGATTGAACCGCGGCTAGAGTCTAAAAAATCCAGCCCGTCGCGTTTTCCCCTAGACCAGCTAGCACATAAAATTAAACCAATAGGTATATTTTTACCCATAGGAAGGTTGCACAGGGACCCCTGTGACCCCAAAAGGTGTAGAAATTTCCCAGGGGTTTTATTTTTTTTAATATAATCAAGGGGAAGCGCTAAAACCGGAGGATTATACAGCGCCTGGGGGGGGGGGGATGGGAAAGGGATTCAGGGGTTTAAATTTGGGGAACTGGAGCACGGATCCAATTCCCTAAAACAAGAGCCCCTCCCAACATCAAAAAAACCTTCCTTGAGGGGGATAATTTTACTTTCCGAGTGAAGCCAAAGTGGCGGCTATGCTAAAATCATTATATATAATGTTTGGTTTCTTTTTACAGAATGGGATAAATGCGGTTTTTTTTTTTTTTAAAAAATCAAATTTAAGGCTAAAAACTATTATCTTATCCGGTTATTTCAAAGCCCCGCTGTGTCTAAGGTATACTAACCCCCCGGATGCGACAACAACAGTCGGGTAATACCCCTCCTACTTTAAAGTTAGGTGAAGAGGGACGGAGGTGTAAGGAAGCAACCCAACGTTTCCATCTATGCCTGGGGTCGAACCCCTGACATAGTTGTGAGGTGGTGCGCTGCCAAACCGGCCCCAAAAAAAAAAATAGGAGAAAACCTATATCAAAAATATTTCCTTCTAAGCTGCTAAAAGAACCATGAGTTTTATGACTCACTTGCCACGGGTTCGAGACCCACCCGCTCGATATGTCTCCAAAGGCTTCATCAATCCAGTAAAGATAGACCACTAAAAGCAGTAATATAGAACAAAATCAGTTGATGTGGGAGTTGATGGCACTGATGTCCCTTAATGACAATGTCATGATGATTCAACATTAATGTACCAATATGTTGTAAAGGTTGAAACCGAGTTTTTGCAGATGTATTTTAAGAAATAACAGTAGATTCCAGATGATTATTAAATGAATAAAAGACTGATTTTCAGAACTGACAATACTTCGACTCTGCGCATTTTATAGCAATGGTATACAATACCGATTAGATAACAAACTAGACATGTGCAACATCTGAGTATCTTGTAGAAGTTTGGCCATCCAGTGTCTGAGGGACTGACTACCTCATCTTCCACTGTCTGCTGCATATACTTCTAATGTTCATATTATGCCCGTGGATTGTACTGATAAAACCACTGGATGGCGAAAAGTCTGCAAGTAAAAATACCCAGATGTGGCACATGTATCTAATTCATCAGCTTGTTAAATAGTATGTTAATTCCGTGAAGGACCTTGAGAAGGATGTATCCATCATGATAACCACTGTTGACAGGAAGAGTCATCTTGAGCGTCTAAGATTACAACACTAATTCCTCTCAACTATCAGAGTACCTAAAAGCTTCTAAGCATCAACCAATGGGTTACACTCGTCAAAAAATTTCTTTCTAAAATGAGTCTAATTCTCAAATGTACAGAACATGGCGAGAATACTCCTTCACCTCATTCCAAGCAATTTTAGACCAGCGTGCAGGTATGGGCTCCCAAAGACCCATCAATGCTGTATAGCCCTTGTGGCTTAGCGCTTCTTTTTGATAATAATAATAATAATAATAATAATAATAATAATAATAATAATAATAATAATAATAAAAATTAAACTCAAGTTCCATTAATGCTGGAGATAAATACCTACACGATTGAAAAAATACTCAAATTCAGTATATATGGTCTTCTATTGACTACATTTCGCCCACACAGTGGGATTTGCCAAGTCAAAAACAGAGCTACCTGAGCAGAGAGTATATGAGCATATGTAACAGGCATAGTGGCGTGGAGAGTCAGGTGGAGAATGTTGAGAAGGTTGGATTGGAGACAGACCTGCACGGGATGAATAGGTGGGTTTGTTGCTATGTAGGATAACGATGAAGGAGTTTCCTGGCGAGGTGTTCAGCTATGTTGTAAAAGTTACTGTCCTGTTTGAAATTATACAGGCGAGTCATGATTTCAAGATCCTGCAACACCGAGTGTCCTCTTTCGGCGAAACGTAGTCAATAAAGGCTCGCATTATACTGTATTCGTATATTTTTCCAAAGTTTATTACTTTTGGCATTAATAGAGCTCAGCACATACTCAGCAAAGTTTTTTGCAAAGTACATCACACCTTATGAGGAGTCTCAGTAATGCGCACTTTAAAAACTGAGTCAAAGGGTAAACTGCGTCAAGGATATCGACATGAAAAAAAATGGGAAGTCTGAATGTAGCTTCACTTTTCATCAAGGCGTCTACTGTCCTGGCCATCAACTCCTGCGTATTATTATAATCAGGTGGGAATGCTAAACCCGTAGGATTATACAGCGCATGTGGGGGATGGAAGGTATTCAGGCTCAATTCAGGGAACCGGAGCACAGATACAATTCCCTAGATAAAGAGCCCCTCACCAGCATCAATGAACCTCCCTTGAGGGGGGAAACTCCTGCATAGAAAGTTTAGTGACAATGCCAATCAATCCATTCCAGCTAAAGACTGTCAATCTCACTCATTATTTCTTTTGTGTTGAGTAATTCCCTATAACATGTTCTGGAATGGCTATGGCGTCGCGTTTCAGTGTAGTTTGGGGTATTTTGGGTGTCATAAAAAAGGGGCCCGGGTTTTAATGGGTCTGGGGCCCAAAGTTTTTTCAGATTGGGGGGCCCCTTTTTAAATTTACGGGTGCGAAGCGCCCCCTTTCCCAAAGTTGGGGGGGGGGGGGGGGTCGGTGGGGAGCCTGTTTAAGGAAATTTAAAATACATTCGGGCTATTTAGTTTTAAATTTAAAAAGGGAAAATTTACTTTAAAAGACAAAAAAAACCCAAAATTTCCCAAACCCCTTATAACAATCTTTTAAATCATTCATTTTAAAGAGAAAAAAACCCCAAGACAGTTAGTTTTAACAGATTAGGCTATTAAAAAAAGGGGAAATCAGGGGTTACCAAATTATATTCAGATAACCACTAAAAAGCCTATTATTCCCTTTATAAACACGGCCCAAATTTTTATTATTATCTTTGCATCAGCAAAAGACTTTCAAATCATATAAACTCAAAAAAGAAAAGAATTGTTTATCTTCACGGGGCCCTCTTAAAAAATTTTTTTTTTTTCGGGAAATTTCATTTTGGGGAAAAAACATCAATTATATTCGGGAAAATCAATATTTCTTGTTAGATCAGACTCAAAGGCAACGGGCTGGGTTTACAAAAAATTTGGGGCCCTTTCCCTCATTTTGGGAGGGGAGTTTGGTTTTTCACTCTTTTCAAAACAGAAAAATGAAATTTCTCCTTCACATTTTTTAGCTGGAAAGGTTTTAGGAAAAAGGCGAAACAATGTAAAAATTTGGGGAAGGTTTCTGAGATACCTGCTTTTCTTAAAGGTTTAAAAAGCAGCTGGGGGGCGAACTTTTTTCGGGGGAGTTTTAAATCTGATTCATAAACCCAAAAAAGAACTATTTCTTCAAAAAATTTTTCCCTGAACATTGCGAAAGGTGTTGTTGCAATTTTAAATGCAGCTTCTCTAAATTTCTGCATCGGAAAAGTAAAAATTTTTTGCAAAAATTCCAAAAATTTGTCACTGGAGATTCGGGGGTTAAAATTTATTTTTTTTTTTTCCCCAATTTTCGAAATTTCCGTTGAACCCCAAAATAAACCAAAAGTATGTAGCTGTTTTTAACATTTTTTGCCTTGGAGAAACCCAATTTCATTGTCGGGCTCCAAAAACTGCGTTTCCCCTTTCCTTGCCCGCTGATGTTTCTCCCGGGGGAAATTTTGTAGTCTTTCACCGGGCTTTTTTTAGCCTTTTCCTTCAAACTTTTCCCAAATAAAGCTTCTTCATTGCAAAAGGTGAGTTTTACAAAAACCTTTTAACCCTTTGCAAAGAGGTTAGCACAAGTAGCCATTTCAATTTCAATTTTTAATGTGTTTTTGTTCTTTTGGCTTTTTAAACCCTTTCCCAGTATACGCCCCAAAAGCACACGAATTTAAGGGGGCCAATTCAAAATTTTCCCAAAATTTTTAAAAGGGGGAAAAGGGCTGGTTTGCTTTCGCTTCTTGTAGTTTGCTGTCGGGTTTCTTTCACCCCTCTGCTTTTGGGTTTCAAAACCCAGAAGTTTTTTCACCCCAAAAAGTTTTGTTTTCAAGGGGGCTTTGGTTGCTTTTCATGCTTGGGGGCTGCCCACCTGTTGTTTGAAAATTTTGGAAATTTGTTTTGCCTTTTTTCCCAATGAAAATTTTTTTGGCCCTTGGGAAAATTACTTCCCCCGAGGGCGTTTTGGGAACAGAAAAAAAAATTTAAAGAGTGCTTT